GAAACTATTGCAGAAATTTAAATTGACAGGAAAAGATAACATTTGGAAATTTTTGCACATTAGGAGTTGTATGTTATCAAAACCACACAATTTTATTGATAATGTGGCGATAAAATATATGAAACTATGAGATTTAGAAAAAATATTGTCTTGGTAACGACTCCAAGCAGTTGAAAATGGCCTGGCAGACGGACTTGGGTGTAGAGATTAGAGGAGATGGATGGGAAATATTCGTGGCTGATTATGGTAAATATGCTAGAGTCAAGCGGTAAACTTATACAATATAACATATTACATAGATAGATACTATTACACACCATTTTGACTACATAGAATAAAATTAATGAATGATGATTTGTGCTGGAAATGTAAACGGGTGACTGGAAACCCTCTCCACTGTGTATGTTGAATGTGAAATATATATTATATATTAGTAAAATATCACATTCTACATTTGTTTGAAAGATGTGTTGAATGACTTGAAAAAGTAAAAGTTTTTGTTGGAAGTGTTGCTGTGCGGGAACCTTAATGCTATCCTAGGATTATAAACGGTAAAAAATAAGAGAGAAAGTGTTTTATTTTGGTCATCGGAAACGGGTGATGCTTCCATCATCTCTCTCATCAGAAATGTGTACATGAAGTCAGTAAAGAGCTGATTTCCCTTTGTTTCAGCCCTTTGTTGAACAAAGTTATTTCCATCATATTTTGAAAGTTTAAGTCTGACAGCCATTATCTAACTGATTATGTACAAGCACCATACAAAAACAACTGGTGAACTATACTATACTATACTATCGTTAAATTAAATAAACCTATTTTTTACCATTGTTTTGAGTTCTGGCTTTAACATTACCGTTACAGGCTGATAATTACACTAAAAGCAACTTCTATTCAGAGAACACAACAAAAAACCTCTGGGCTGTAAATAGATACACATCTTTAATATGAAACAGGTGAAAAGAAACTACAAAATATTAGCAATTGAGGCAAGTTCAAATTATTTAGCCTACGAGAAATGGTGCAACTGATTAAAATAAATAAAAAATTCATTGAAACTTAGATTTGCTACCATTATTTCCTGGAAGGGAAATTTTACAACCTGATTCCAAGTTAATACAGCACTGAAGAAACAGTAGAGATTGATTATTATGCATTAGTGTTACCACTAGCCGTAATTTCCATTTGAGCGCTGACAACTTTTTTTCTGAAACATTGGGTTAGTGTTAGGTTTAGGGATGTCTGAGTCTGACATTGTAGAGAGACTGGAATAAATGAGTTGCTGGGTATCTTAAGCCTCTTTCTGGATTATTTATTGAAAAACTCTAACAAAGCTGGAAGCCTACAGTTCCACTCAGTGCCAAATTCTAACAGAAATTAGAGAACGTAGGTCATGATGTAATGATATGTGCACACCAGAGGCAACAAACAAAACACAACAGTAGGTGGCGGATTTGGAACATCAATAATAGTCAAGTTTAACGCCCCCGCTTCCTCATAACTCACTGGGCTATCTTGGAAATATACAAAACATAGGCTCTACTTTTCTACCTTGACAGAGATGAAAATGTTGCTTCCTGATGGTTTACTGGATTCCATTCCAGCTCATTCACCTACAAGTCACCTGTGAGTAACCTGGTTTCCCCTTTTGCGTCTCTGGACTACTTCCCTTGTTATTTCATGCCTGATTAAACCCTGTGTGCCATCCACCATGCTTCCTGCACGGTTTTCTGCATGTGGGTCAGGCAACTACCTAAAACCATGACTAAACACTCAGGCCACTCTGACAGATTCTCTCAGGAAAGTTATCAACACCACATAATACGATCTCATGATTCCCTCCTCGGAACTCTCTATGAACAGCAGACTGCCTCCAGCTTCAGAACCAAATTCAGATAGTCTTCTCCAACAGATTCAGTTTCAGAGTTCTCCATGGAGTTTCACACCCTGGCACCATTTTTCCATGCTTTAAATCACTCCCTAAAGAGCCCAAAACTCAAAACGAGTCCACCTCCGTAGCTACTTGTTTATCTCTTCCTGCCTTGATTGACTCAGACTGAAGAAAAACTCACTGAGCTGTCCTTGGTGGAACAAGCTAAGATTGAGACCATTCCATCATCAGCTCCTCAACGTTTTAGGAACTTCCAAGTATTACTCATAATACAAAACCATTGCAATTAATCATCTCAGGAAGCTTCCTATCTTTTTGTTTTTCACTTGTCACGCAACAGTTGTATGGGGCTTCATCTGGCCTGAACTCAGAAGTTAATCTTGGTCCACAAACTGTCTCTTTCTGTTTGGAGTCTAGTGTTCCAAGCCCGTCCCTGGGTGCAAACCCGAAGGTTGACCCCCTTGATTTATCTCGCTCCCATCCCAGAGGAATGTCATGATCTAAGTTAGGTTTTTAGTAAGCTCAATCGACTCAACTTCCATCAGTTCTGTTTGTCATTGTTTTACTCCCGCTTTAACCTTTCCATTTCATTCCATCCAGGAATGAAAAGCACTGATCCAGATGTCTTTGCCCATCCATATTCCTCTGATGGCTCTGAAGACTCACCAGATCCCAATTAACCCCCAACTGCACCGTTGGATCACTTTATCTTTTTCTGCCATAATCTTAAGATTACAGAAAACATTTTTCACTGTGTTCTGTTTTTGGTCCAGTAAAGTTTACTGACCACACAAGTTATATCTGGTCGCGAACAAGTATATTAAACTTTCCACTGCCTCTCTGTACTGGTTCTTCAATTTGATCTGCCTCATTTGAGTACTCTATCTTTGGTTCACATGGAGTCTTCCTGGGTTTACAATCCTTCTTTCCAAATGTCTGATATTTTGCGTTTAATACCTTTTTTTGACATTTTAACTTATGTATTTGTCACAATCTTATCCCTAGAAAATATCTAGATCTTTCGTTTCAAACTTTTCATTTTACTTCCTTCAAAATTCCTTTATTCCCACCTGCAATAATAAAGTCATTTACACATACCAGTGAGACTCTTTTCACCATTTTTCTCAAGTATACAAACACTGATCACTAGGATTTTGTGTTTAACCATTTTCACTCAAACATGCGTGTAGTAAACATTCCAATTCTGGTCAGACTGTTTTAGACCATACAGGGCCTTTGTAGCTTGCAAACAAGTTTTTCACCAGTTAGACATTTTCTTAATACCTTCTGGTGGATTTATGTACATTTCTTGCCCAATAGGTTCATGCAAATATGCAGTTTCAACATAAATATGGTGTAGGATAACATTTTCTTGTGCTGGGATTTGCATTACCACTCCACAATTGTCATTTCAGCTACTGGTGAAATTTTCTCTTCATAATCAATGCCTTGTTTTTTATTGTAACCGTTCGCTACATATCTCGCTTTTTATCTATCAGATCCATCAACCTCACTTTCAACCCCATTTTCTCTACATTGTCTTTTTGCCTTGCGGTAGCTGGGTGAGTGTAACATTTGAATTTTCTTTCTGAGACTGCATGTCCCCTCATTTCTTCTTTATACTGTAGGTGATGCAATGGCTTCCTTACAGGCTTGAGGTATATTACATACCAGTCTGTAAATAAAGTCTATTCTAACCCTATGTTATGGTATGCTAACTGGGCACAGGAAAATATAAATTGCAATAACTGGACCAGTATCAGAAGGTACTAGATTCTTTTAGGAGCCAGTATCTTTAACATCAATAATGACACAAACAACAGTTAAGTTTAATTTGTGCAGCTACTTATTATGGCAAATCCAACAGGTGAGATATAAACATACACCTTTTGAAGAACAAAGTAAAATAAAACTCTGATCCAAATTTATTCCACTTAGACACATTTGGCTGTTTTCCTGAAAACGGTTCATAAGGTATTTTATCTATTTATCTGTAGCACCTTTATCTATTCATCTGTGGAACCTGTTTCTCACATAGGCTGCTGCTTGCAAAGTATAATTCCAAAATGTATCTGGTAACTTACTTTCTTGTAACAGACGTCTGCCCATCGAAGGTTCTCAAACTTTCTCTCTACTTGTCACTTCCCCATAAGGTGCCATGCCTGCCAAATATTTCTTAGTAGCTTGAAATGCCAGTCTTGGACTTCAGCAAATAAACCATGATGATGCAAGGATAGTCATCTGTAAAGGGCCGTGCATATCTATACTCTGCAATGCTGAGTGTTGACATGGGACCTGTTGGATCAGTGTGGACTAGTTGTAAAGGTCTGTCAGCATTCTTGTCTGTGTTCCCTTTTGTATACACGTCAGATAACTGCTCTGGCTAGTTATGCAACCTTTTTATCTCCATACCTTTAACTATCATTTGAAGCTTTTGGCATCAGAGATGAAATAGGATTTTCTGCTCATTCCAAATAGCTGGAACAATCCAATTTAGTCATTCAGCCTGTTTAATACATGTATATTTGTCTCAACACTGATTAGAACTTTGGTAACTAAGATGGTAGACTGAACAGAAATTATTTGAGCACATCCGGATTGACGGTACACTTAAATTCCATCCCTAGCAAATAATCTGTTGATTATTAGCAAAGTGTTTTACATCATGGACAATTCACACACTTTCTCTGGTCAGAGCCCACTTTTTAAATTCAAACAGCCTTTCTACACCTTAGGATGATGAAGGCTCTGCCTCCTGTTCTGCTTTATAAACCCAGGAACAGTAACCTGCGTCTTGAGAACCAAGAGCTCTTCTGGAAACCTCCATCTGGATGGCGATGCTCACCCAGAGTTTAGATGTGAGGAACAGAACTTTGGGCTCTGATCTGAATCTAACAGGGAGCCAACGAAGAGACGCTGAAACTGGGGGAATCTAATGTCTCTTTGACTAATTTTCATGAAAATTCTCGTTGAAGCATTTTCGATCAGCTCAATGTTGATTCCAATTAGCTGAATGTATTTTGAGAAATGGTTCGCTTTTTTTACTTAATGTATTGCGTTTCTGCGTTTATTTGTCATATTTAAAACGATTTAATTATTAAAAGAATGGAATTTTAGATGTGTGCTTCGTGTGGCCGGCTCGGATTTACTCTGAAAAGTCAGACCGGAAGTGGGGCTGTTTGTGCCGCATGCGGTTTTAACGCTAGCGGCGAGTCGCTGGCTTAGTGTCTGCCGTGAAATCTGTCGTATGCCCTGAAACCTCTCGCTCTCTCTCCCGGCGGGGGGGAGTACTATGCGTAGCGGCAGAGACCTGGATAAGCCCGGATTTGCGTCCTCATCCCGGATAGCGGAAACAGCCCGGCTCGGCTCGGCCCAGCTCGCGTACGACATGACGGCAGCGGAGCGGCCGACGGAGGACAGCGCGATTCGCGGTTGATCCCTCCCGACCCGCGCAGAGTCCGCGGCCGCAGCCCCTCGGGGGGCTAACCGCCGGTTGAAGGGGGGGCGCCATGTCCGCGGACGGGAACGGAACCATCCGCAGCCGCATCAAGAACCTGCTCCGGTCCCCGTCCATCAAGCTCCGGCGGAGCAGCGCCGCGAGGCACCGGCAAGACATCGGCGACAAGGTGGGACACCGCGCGCGTTTTCCGTTGGGTCTGCTGACCCGAGATGGGTCGGTTCGACCAGGTTGAGTGCTCGGCGAGTTTTGACAGACGTGGCCGTCGGCAGGGTTACCGGCGGTGTCACTTTTGGACGCGCTGTTGTCAGGATACGGGAGTTCGAAGGGGACCGGACAAAAAGTCCGTGACCACGGACGATAGGATACGTCTCTCCTCTTCTAAAGCCGCTTTTCTTTGTTCCCGCTACTTCTGAAGGTGTACCGAATTTACTTTCATCTTCAAAGGATGCCGAAAACCAGTGCTTTGTAGTCCAGCAAAGCAGGGTAGGAGAAGCGGTCCGTTTGATCCCGCGGGGCTTCCGTCCATCTGTCAGCGGCTTCATTCGCTCGTCCATCAAAGCTTCCGCGGGGCCGCGAGCTCCAGCTCAAAAGCCACCAGACCTGTTCCGCTCGTGTTTTAGGGACGACGTACATCAGCTCTAACATCTCTGTGAAGGACCTCTGCTTCCTTACAGGAAACAAGTCCTCATAGGGAAATGTTACAGCTCCGCTGGAATTCCAGGTATTGAAGAAATGGCGGGTTCGTACCAGGCTGAGTGATGACCCTCTGAGGGGGTAACATCTTCATTTGTGGGAGGTTTCCCACTTCTCACATGATGGTGGAGGACCCTTCAGAAGAATAAGAAACAGCCAGGACTTCTATACTGTAGGTGGCACTGCAGAATAGAATATGGATAAAATATTAATATTAGCTCACTGAATGCCCAAATCATAGCCAGATTCACAATGTGCAGCAGGTAGATGCATATACTTTTTCACTTTTCTTCCCCGTGACTTTTCTAAAACTCCACAACTAAAATACTCGCCCCTGCGTGTGGTGGCTTGTTTGACTTTGGGTTTGTACTGTCCCCCGGCTTAAGGGAAATTGAATACATCACATGGGCGTGATTAAGCCTGACTTCCTCAAATGGAGCCTTGAAATACACCGCAGCTGAATTATGTCTTTTTTTTAAAAACCTTGAAACCTACAAAGTGCTTTACTATATGTCTCTTTTTTACACACGCACACTGTCACACTCCCAAATGCCCCTTATGATAAATAATTTTTGCTAACAAATATGTCTCCTCGATGCTGTGAAAGCAGCATTGACCAGCCGGGGTCAGGACAAAGACCAGCTCGGGCTGCCTGATGCTAACACATTAGTAATATCTCCTTGGGGCAATGAGTAAGTGGGCCTTGTTCCCCACGTATGTCAGATTGGTATTTCAGAGGTTTAGAGCCCAGATGAAAACCTCTGGAGGAGCTCTATCTCAGTCTGCCGATCACACTGAGCACACTGGATTGGCTCCTGGATTCCCTGAGGGAACACTTGTTGAAATGTACTCAATTCAGATCGCCATGATAGTGTCCGGATGGTTTTTCCATCACAAGTGACTAAAAGTCCCAAGCAAACTCAGAGTCAAAGTCAGCTTTATTGTCAACAGGAGTAATCCATTTTTAGATATATTCAGTCGAAATTTTGTACTCTCATGCTCCCAGACAACACAATAAAGTAAGTAGAGTAAGTAAGTACAAAAAAGTAAGTCTTCATATGAGAAAAATTAAAGGGCATAAGTAGAAACAGTGGTGGTATACCTGCTGCTCCTTGTTTTTCTCTCATGTTTTGGGTATCTACGGTGTTTATGAGCACAGAAATAATTAAATCTTTTTTTGTTGTTGTTGTTGTGTGGTTCACTTGGAGGAGTCGCTCTCCAAGACATCTTTACTCGTGCCTTTCAAGCCAGGACACGCAGGCCTTTTTTTGGCTAGGGTGCCCAATAAAGGAGCCATGAGAAGTCAAGGCTGATCAAGGCCCATTGCACAAGGAAAATGTTAGCCGAAGAGAAACAGCCCGCCCAGCTCCATGTCCCCCCTGACCCCCTGGATGGATCAGCAGGATGCTGGACCTGTACGAGCAAACAAAACAAAGAGCCGCTGTCATGAATGAGCCCGCTGAAAGGGGAAGGAATTCATGACGTCTGCGGTGGTTTTGGTGGTGACAATGCCGCGTTTCTACGACTTTATTTATAGACGAGTCCATAAACTTCTTCAAATGTCAGTCTTTTCTCAGTTGATTAGAAGATGGACATGACTGGCCCTGTTGCCGTGTGCTGTCTTACTTGGCCATGCATCTGTTTCTTGTTTGGTTAGCTTTGAGCCGGGGGGGCGGGGGGGCGTAGTCGCAGAGGTGTATGAGGTTCTGTGTAAAAAGGCAAAACCCACACAGCTAGGCAGAAAGCTGATTCTGTACTGTTGGCTTAGCGGGCGTGAACACACACTGATGCAGGGTGGAGTCTCCTCTGTCCTTAAGTGTGGATTAGCGAGTAGAAACAGCTGGAGGCAAAGATGGAAGTCCTCTTCCACTGATAAGCTTCAGACAAGTTGTGAAAAAGTGACATTTACGTGCACACCGGTAGGCAAGTTTCTCAACAGGACACTGCTGGGACTCACACCTCCCATCCCTGGTGCTTTTTTATGACTGACTTATGTGTTTGTAATCATATCAGAGCAGATCCATATACATATTTGGGTCACAGCACTTGGCTTCTGATTGGAGGATGGCTGTCTTCCAGAGATGGCACGGGGTCGGTCTTTAATCTGCTTTATTCCGGCAGGAAAACTTCCTTTCTCGTGTTGTAGGAGGATGATGGTTGTGAGTTTGTCCCTGTGATGGATCGACAAACTGTTTTAGAGTTTCCGCTGCCTTTCACATGATGGATTCCCATATCCCCCAGAACCGGTTGAAGTTTTTGTAGCAAATTAATAAAAGATTTGGTTTGTTTTATATGATGTTGGAGGTATTCTGCATCAGCACGGACTTACTGTTTAAGGTTTTGGAAGCCATTAGAACTGGGTTTATACTTTTAAGGGTCCATCCAGACAGCTCTTTATTCCAAAAAGCACTTTCAAACCGAGGGGTTTGCTGAGAGATGGATTACTCCCTCCAAAAGCCTTTTGATTAATAAAAGGGATTTGATAGGTTCAGGTTCAGGACATGATAATACTGTCCCATCTCTAAGGACTGAAGAGGTCTGAGAAGTAACTTTTTTAAAGTGAGTTTTTAAAAAAACCCATAAGTGACTCATGAAATGCATGTATATAGGCTGTAGGTTTTGTGGTTTCTGATATTAGGTGGATAGCTGTGTATGTTTGTGAATGGTCAGTAGTTCAGCAAAGGAAGTGATTTATGTCAGCTTATCTGAACTGGACTTTTTCTAAACCTAAAAAGCAGAAAAAGCACCCAAAAAAGTCTCTTTGTGTCAGTTTCCCCTCCCACACACACAAACGCACTCAGAGACACAATGGTCATCACGTTGAGCCCTCAGTATAACAACAGGAAACAAAAACATTAAATGAAAACAGGCATGGAATAAAGCCTAGGTTTTTGGTTTGCTTTTAAAAACAGGAACATTTTTTTTCCTGTGTTCAGATCTTCAAGAAGCTTGGACCATATTTTAGCTCTAAATTTGGGAACAAGAGGGTTCAAACAGCCTCACATTGTCGAAACAGTTCTGATCATTAATGGGAAACGGGACCAGTAGGAACCTTACAGAGAGCTAAAAGAATTCAAAATAATTCTCCGGCTGTCGGGAGGCTGATGCTGAGACCTCAAAACTATTGTTCTACGGTGTTTAGATGTTGTGTTAGTACATATTCAAGCCCTTTGGTTTGAAATCCATTTCCTTTGTCTTGAATTGATTGTGTTCCACAGCAGGATACTTTGTGGTCTCCAACAATGAGATGATTGTTCAGCTTGGGCCCAGACAGCAAAGTCAGCCTCTTCCTGAGGAACCATTCCTGTTGATATGCAGGAATGTGGAATGTTAATAAGCAGAAATGCCTTCAATAATACATCAACTAACTCCACAAGGAAATATTGTTGCTCGTTTTTACTTGATGGATTTAGCCTTTAGTCTTCCAAGATCATACACGACTCCTTTAAGATAATACATTACATGATTAAACATCCCTCAGTTGGAACATTGAGCTCATGTCAGAGGTAACTTAGATGCTCATCATAAAGTAGAACTGATAGGGTATATGCTGCTTATTAGAGGGTGATCAGAAAGTTTCAGTTCTCTTTGGATCCATGTGGCCACCCGCTCAGTAACAATGCACCTTTGAAATCTGTAAAACAAACTATTTTGAATAGATGGTATGGACTGGTAAATCAAGAGCCCAAGTGCGTGTAGGTGTGTGTAACTGGTGTGCCTAGAACATATTGAAACTTGAAAGAAACACAGTTATTTAAGAGTAGAATGCTAGTAATCATTCTGGATTAGATATGTTAAGAAGCAGCTGGAAGATTTCTGAGATGGAATCCATACAATTCCATTTAATGCATCCATTCCTATCAACATTAATGTTTTTTTGGTTGTCTGTCTGTGTGTGTGTGTGTGTGTGTGTGTACTTGAAAAGCTATTTTTAAGCGTACTCCAGACAACCAGAAAAAAAAAAGTCTACTGGTTTGGTGTCTTCTCTTCCAAAGAAAATGGAAACCCTCAGAAACAGCTGGCAGCTGATCCTTGTGGCTTTAATAGTTTGATGGGCCATGTGAGAGAGCTGAACTCAGAGGAAAACGGGTAAAAATATAAATAGGATTTGGTACTGATGGAGGAGTCATGTGAGAGGAGGTAACACTCACACAGACACACAGAGGTTTCTGCTGTTAGCTCATGAGCGAGCCGCACAACATGTTATTAAACAGTCGGATAAACCGTTTAAAAGGCTGATGAACTTACTTTCGGAATCCATGGACAAGCTGATTCGGGACACTTTTAACAATGCGGAGCATGCAGTAAGTGCGATAGTTTTTGATGCCAGCGGTATGTTTCTGTCGTCAGACAAGCTGCAGGCACAACTAGAAAATTGAGTCGTCAACATATTTATCTTTTTTAGGAATGCTTGTAGTCTAAACAACTGATTGGCTAGATGTGGCTTCATGACCAAACTGGAATCTGTCAGTTAAACATGACTTAAACCATCTATAGGACAGTCCCTTTAATCTCAACAACATGTTAGAGCCTCTGTAACAGAATTCTGTGATCGACTGTATCAGAAAAAGCTCTGAGACCCAACAGACCTAACACAAACTCTAGTCCACTAACCAGAAGAGATCATCGGTAACTTCAGCAGAGCTGTTGATCGTGACTGAATCCTGACTGTAACTTTTCAAGTAGACAATTCTATGTGTAGATGATCACAAAGCTGAGCTGCTGCAGAACTAAAAAGCTATTTTGAGGAAGTCGATGAGATGCAGGCGAAAAGATCCTGTAATCTTCTTAAAAAACGGAATGTCTTCACAATAACAGTATTTTAACATTTCTTGCTATTCAAGGTATTAGAAGATCAGAGGTTCTAAAATGTGCCTGGTTTTCCTCCCCTTCTTTGAAAGACTAGTTCGTCTGTTGTTCATGGGGCATCTTCTCCTCCCAGAAAAAATGTGCTCAGGCTGATCAGATTAGAATGAGGCAGACACACGCACTGTGCGGGACAACCGTGGGATTCATGATGGTAATGGAAATTTAAAAGGTGATGAGCGTCTCCATGACAACTGTTTGCATTCCAGGTGACGTTGGAGAAGGTTCTGGGAATCACAGCCCCGGGGAACCGAGCATTGGCCTGCGACCCCCGAACCGGACTGCTGGCCTATCCCGCAGGGTGAGGAACTATTTTTCACTCTTCTTTGGATATTTCAAAGTGGTAAATCTCTGCGATGTGTGTTCATATGCCTAGTGGTAAATTTAATCCCAGCATGGTTTAAAAGTACACAACGTCAGGAGATGAAACAGAACAGCAATATTTATTCAATTATTCGGGAGCATTCACCCAAAACAAAGGGGTTTGATGTCCTGGTTGGTTCAAACCCTGGTTTGGGTTGGGGGTAAAGAAAGTATAGGGGGTGTAGGAAGTGGAGGCCGCACAAGACACACTTACATTCAGCAAACAAAATTCCATAAACTGCAAACAAAACCCCTGACCAGCAGCCAATTGATCAACGGAAGAGGGATGTGAATGGATGGATGATCGTCCAGATGTTTTAAGTTGTAAAACTCTGACCCGTGTCTTCTATTATGAAGCCATGCACTTTCTATTTAGTTTAGGAAAATGTTCGCAGTTACATTACATTAGAAAACAAAGTTTTTTTTAGTTAACATTGTCGTCTCTCTACGATTTTAGTCATCGGTTATATTAAGATTTATTGTCTCTTAGTGACATTGACTGTGGTATATAGCCTATCAACAATGATTATTACATTAACATTAAATCTAACTTCTTTCTACCACTGAAATGGGTTTTCTCGATTTTATTTGTGAATATGAGGAGTTTTTGTTTTTTAAAGCCTACACTTGGCACTTTTTTAAGGATACATTTGGATACATTTTTACTGTTATCACATTGAAAATGTTTTTGAGGTACTGTGCTCTAATCCTGCAGGGAGCGTCAATGTGGCTTGTTGGACTTTTTTCTGTTTGTTGAACTGAGAGCTTAACTGTAAAAGCTAGTGATAAGAAGAAACTTTTCCCACCTGTTTCCAAGTTCACGTGTGTGCAAAGCAGCTCACCTGTTTGTTTGAGCTGCTTCAATTTGGCCCTGCGTTTTCAGCAGCAGGAAGAAAATGCGTTTGTCTCCGATTACGCGTATTGAATATCTGAACAGCTGAGCGCAGATTCGTGTGGACACTGTCGGACATCTGGCAGATAGCCGGGCCTCCCTGCACCCTCATACATTTCTGTTTTCCGGAGGTCTCAGAGGAATGATGGCAATGTCTGAGGGCAAGCTTTGCATCCTCCAGACTGGGCGGTCCGATCAGCTGCAGGGATTTTTGCAGAGTGGCAGCCATTGTTGGTTAGTGTGTGTTGAGGTCCTGCTTCAGCTCGAGCGTTGAGAGGCGTCCATTAATGCTGAACGGTTCTGAAGGGGAAAGGTAATGAAGTGGGTCAGTGGAACAGTGGGGGTGCGGCGTAGGATGAGCGTATACAGTGCAGTTTGTACGGAGCAAATGAAGCAGATCATTTTAATTGAGGGGTTTGAAAATGGGTGATACGTGTGAGCATATTAGGTAATAAAGACTAACTTCATGGACAAAAGGAACTGCAGTCATTTATTTCTACAGCCTGCTGATGACACAGAAAACTATAAACTCACAGGATCCGAGGACATATGAACTGAATGATGTGTCCGGCTGAATTAAGCCAAGAGACGAAAAGACCTCTGCAATGCAGCAGAACAGCAGTGCATGTGGAGGGGGGGGGTTGCACACACATGGATACATGGATTTTTTTTCCTGTTTATTTATGCTGGGCTAACATTTATTTCATTGACCTCCGATGGGTGTAACAGCGCGTCTTACAGCAATTAACTATCAACGATTAATTAGCAATTAATTATTAACCATACCCATTTCTGAAGTTAGATCACATTACGCTATTCTTCTGTGTAGAGTTGTTGATGAAGATTGAACATTTTCATTATTTCCTGCCTAGATTTTTTCTTCCAGATCTTTTAATGTGGTCGTGTTTTGCTTTCTTCTTGATACTTCGAATGGGATGATACCACCCCTTGAATAGGCTTTAAACACTTCCAAACGGTGTAGGGAGAGGTTCCAGGAATGTGGTTCTTTTTAAGGTCAAATTAAATGTGATGTCTAAAGTATTTACCAAACTCCCGATCTGCAAGGAGCTGGGGATTTAGTTCCCAAGAATAATGCAGTTTATCCATGTGGTCCAATCATATTGAAAAGGAAAGTGGATTGTGTTCAGCGTCCTTCTCAGTTATTGATTTCTTCAGCGAGAACGATAGATTTCTCTTCATTAAAACTGCAATCATGGGGGATTGATGGTACGAGACAAGATGTTTACATTGTTTACTTACATTGCTCATAGAAACATGTCTGCCTGGTACCCAATACAATACCATATCAGGACTTATGAGGCACTTGATGTGTCTGTGAGTTAATCTACTGTCACTAGCCATTTATTCACCGGAATTCACTGAATTCCATCTTAACTCAATCTCCCAGCATTGGTGTTGATGCCTCTGAGGTGTGGCATTGTTCATGTCTTCCTTGGCTTTTTCTTAGGACACATGAAGGAACTCTCTGTGCCATTGTTGCCATCCAGAGGTCTCGCTGGGTGAACCGGGCCATGTCCGGACAGTCAGGTCTTTCTGTTGGATGTCCTCATGCACTTGATTGTGAAATATTGTCAGGACGATGGGTATGGGAGGTTTCGGGGTCTTCTCCCAAAGGTCCGACGTGCTCGGTCTTGTCTAGAGAAAAGCACCCCGGAGATAAAATTACGTGGTTTGGATCCTTTGGAGACTTTTTTATAGCTCTTTAATAATTTTTTTGCTGTGGTAAGAGATGGGTCTTCAGGGTCTTGAAGATTGACAGTGATCATGGAACAACTCATTAAGATACACTATATTGCCAAAAGTATTTGCTCACCTGCCTTGACTCACATATGAGCTTAAGTGACATCCCGTTCCTAATCCATAGGGTTCAATATGACGTCGGTCCACCCTTTGCAGCTAGAACAGCTTCAACTCTTCTGGGAAGGCTGTCCACAAGGTTTAGGAGTGTGTTTATGGGAATTTTTGACCATTCTTCCAGAAGCGCATTTGTGAGGTCGCACACTGATGTTGGACGAGAAGGCCTGGCTCTCAGTCTCCGCTCTAATTCATCCCAAAGGTGTTCTATCGGGTTGAGGTCAGGACTCTGTGCAGGCCTGTCAAGTTCATCCACACCAGACTCTGTCATCCATGTCTTTATGGACCTTGCTTTGTGCACTGGTGCACAGTCATGTTGGAAGAGGAAGGGGCCAGCTCCAAACTGTTCCCACAAAGTTGGGAGCATGGAATTGTCCAAAATGTCTTGGTATGCTGAAGCATTCAGAGTTCCTTTCACTGGAACTAAGGGGCCAAGCCCAGCTCCTGAAAAACAACCCCACACCATAACCCCCCCTCCACCAAACTTTACACTTGGCACAATGCAGTCAGACAAGTACCGTTCTCCTGGCAACCGCCAAACCCAGACCCGTCCATCAGATTGCCAGATGGAGAAGCGCGATTCGTCACTCCAGAGAACGCGTCTCCACTGCTCTAGAGTCCAGTGGCGGCGTGCTTTACACCACCGCATCCGACGCTTTGCATTGCACTTGGTGATGTATGGCTTGGATGCAGCTGCTCGACCATGGAAACCCATTCCATGAAGCTCTCTGCGCACTGTTCTTGAGCTAATCTGAAGGCCACATGAAGTTTGGAGGTCTGTAGTGATTGACTCTGCAGAAAGTTGGCGACCTCTTCGCACTATGCGCGTCAGCATCCGCTGACCCCGCTCCGTCAGTTTACGTGGCCTACCACTTCGTGGCTGAGTTGCTGTCGTTCCCAAACACTTCCATTTTCTTATAATACAGCTGACAGTTGACTGTGGAATATTTAGGAGCGAGGAAATTTCACGACTGGATTTGTTGCACAGGTGGCATCCTATCACAGTTCCACGCTGGAATTCACTGAGCTCCTGAGAGCGACCCATTCTTTCACAAATGTTTGTAAAAACAGTCTGCATGCCTAGGTGCTTGAATTTATACACCTGTGGCCATGGAAGTGATTGGAACACCTGATTCCGATAATTTGGATGGGTGAGCAAATACTTTTGGCAATATAGTGTATATGTATATAAATGTGTATATTTATACACATATACGAATATACATGAAGACCTTCACTGACACGGTCCTGCCTCCTGGAGGTGTTGTGGGCCAACTAGATGAAACACTGATGAAAGGAGGTTAACTTTGACCTTGATAAAGCTTACATGCACACACACACACACACACACACACACACACTTATATCCTCAAATGTATAGAAACTACAACTGCGCTTAATGTTCCAGTGAAGAACAATTTCACTGACTGCTGATCCAGCAGCTTCCAGACAAAGAGACACTGTGTGTATCATGTTTCTGCACACACACACACACACACACACACACACACACACACACGCACACACACACACACACACACACACACACACACATGCGCTGTGTGAATCACACAAGGAGTGTGTGTGTGTGTGTATGTTTTTATTTCAGCAGCCTTATGTGGAAAGACTTTCATCTGTTTACGCCACATTGTTGAAAGAACCTCACACGACACCTCTGTTGGAAGTATCATGTAACACGATGCAGCTCTGGACGGTGACAGTCACAGCTTATATGTAGGAGTGTAAGCTTCCACAGCATCAGGATAAGCTGGGCCTCACCTAATTCTCCAAACCTTTGCACAATTATCTGCTGAGTCCCACACGAGTATGACTGTGTTTGGTTCAGCCAGCTGCTCATCAACCATGTAGTGTGCGCACATGACCTGCAATCAAATGAAGTATTTTTGTCCCATCCTGGGTATCCTGAGCTGGATCTCCACCAGCTGTCAAAAATATCTGCTTTTAATTGGAGTATACCAATTGCTAGTGTATATAGCTGATGATTAAAGCAGGCTTGGTCCTGATGGCAAGCCAGTGGCAGCCGACATGCAGCCTGGACAACCAGGATCCACTCATCGCCATGACCCTGGACGCTGTATTTACCGAGGACAGCCTGCAGTTATTCCTGTGAGGGAGTTAACCTGGCAAAAGTGACAGCGGCCACTAAGCTAACAACGTGCGAGCTTCTCCAAGTTTAGACTCCAGAATGTTGAGCATGTCCACCAAAGTGAACCTCAACAATTCAATGACCCCATCTTGCATTCCAGTTATCAAGGAAGTTGGAGTTCTTCGCCAACCCCGTTAGGTCCCCTGACGCTCCCGCAGAGGGTTTTTTTACTCCCAGTCTGGCTCTTCTCAGCCATGTCACCTGTCAGTCTCCTGTTGGAGACTGTTGGAGTAGCTCTGGCAATTCCAAGGCAACATCCTTAAATTAGTGGGCTGGAAAACGTGGAGTGGATTTCGGTGTCCGTCAGCAAGAAAAGCAAATAAAAATGCTCCTCAATCAGGACTGTATCTGCTGTGTTTCTGTTGAGTCAGGTCTCAGTTAAAACCATAAAATCAAGCTTATGACAGGAAATAAAATTATTGATAATGAACGATTTGTTACTTAAAGATCAGACGTTGGGTACTGCATGTTTGAGCTGAACTGAAATCCGTGTTCTTGCAAGGGATATGGAAAAGATTTCTCTGAATAGACTATCTGACTGTCCCTCCCTCATGTAAACTATATGGTTTGATAGTAGGTATTGTTTTAAAAAGGGGGCTTTGGTTGGTGGAACAGGCTGAGGAGGGATAGGGCTGCGACTTTCCTTGATGATAGCGTGATGGAGGAGCTACTGTGTTCAGATGATGGAGGTGAAGAAGGTGCTGTGGCTGTAGTGGTTGCCTCCTTTCCTGGATCCCTGGATGTGGAGGCAGAAGCTCTTATCTTGCTCCTCTTGTTCCCCCAGGAACGATTGTGGTCCTGGCCTATTCCGATGGGGAAAGGATCCCTCGGTCGTCTCACTCCCCCTCTGTTCGGATACGAGACAAAAAACCTATTTGCAAGAAAGATTCAAATTCTAAATGAGACGCAGTCCTCAGAACTCACAGACTTTGGCAAGCCATGTGTTTAGCCGAAGCAGCTGGCTTAATTTGTTTGTTCTCCTGTCCCTGTTTGGGTCCACCAATGAACTCTGGTATTTCCACTTAGTCAAGACTTAAAAGACTCAAAGAGTTTCTTGTAGTCTCTTTCAGATGGTTCCTCTCTGATGTCCACTGCACCCACGGACACAATCAGCCGTTTCACCTGTTGGTGTTTTGCTGGTACCTCGGGGAGTCATTATGTGATGAGAGAAGGAAGTGAGAGAAAGTGGTGTTTGGATAGCTTGCAAGGATGTATACTGTTATTATACTGCTATATACTGTTATATACTGTTGACACGTGGCACAGTTGTCCACTGGCTGCTTTTTATCATCTGTCTATTCACTAAACTTGGTCACGTTTGGCTCTGATAGTGGTAAAACTCTGTTTGAAAACTGTATTCCGAATGATGTTGCATCTCCTCCATAGTGCCAACATTTTGACCTTGCTTCAGCTTAGTCTGAAGCAAGCGTTTGTAGAGTCTCGGAAAAGACATGGTATCATTTAACTTTAGGATGAAAGTGCAGGTTTTTCTCCTCTTTCTTTGTGAGTAAATGTTATTTCCATGGGGAGTGTGTGATGAAATCATTTTTTTATTTCTATGGCAAAAGTCCATCCATCCATTTTCTATACCGCTTTTTACCAATGGGCTCACGAGGGGGGCTGCAAGTCGCCAGTCCATCACAGGGCCACAGAGACACACAACCAGGCAAACTCACTCTTACCCCCAGGAGCAGTTTGGAATGTCCAATTAACCTAACATGCAAGCTCCACACAGAAAGGTCTCGAACCCTAAAACCTTATGGTGTGAGGCGATGGTGCTACCCACCACACAGATCTAAATCCTGAAATATTCGACATTGTTTGGGCTCACTTGCTAGTCAGATAGATTGTAAAAGAGTAAAAATACACTCCTCCCAAACTGGTCATTTGCTTCCTCCCTCAAAAAAGAACCAGCATCCGACCACTGCTGATAAACCCCACTCACGATCCTGATGTCCAGTCACAGTACAGAACCACCGCCAGTCTTCCATCTAAAAGAAAACAGTCGAGATGAAAACTTCCAACCTGGTTTCCGCTCAGCCGGCATCACTAAGGCTTCACTGTTGTACCCATGTGTGGTCTGACCTCACTCTGTTTACTTGTGTAAATCAGCACGCAATCTTGTGTGTTCTCAGGTGTGTTGTCGTCCTGCTGAATCCTCGTAAGAACAAACAGCTGCACATCTTGAACAGATCGAGGTAAGTCTTAGCCGGACAAGCACGTCATGCCTCCTGTCTGCTCAGTTTTCCAAACTAACCGGTTTAGAGATCCCTCAATTTAGCCTCATACGCTCACAGGAACCCCTCCAGCTCCTTTACTGATCATCACTAACAGACTGTGTGTGTTTGTATGCGTGTTTTTTTTCAGGAAGGCAATCACTACGTTGGCGTTTTCTCCTGATGGGAAATATGTTGTCACCGGGGAGGTGAGTGCGGTGTAGAGGCAGCGTCCCGCTCAGTTCCGTTCTCGTATCCAAACGTCCACTTCAGTGTCATACGGTAGAACGCAGAACTGGCTTTTCTTTGAACGTGCCCTCTGTGCTGCCCGTCCTCAGAGCGGTCACATGCCAGCAGTCCGGGTCTGGGAGGTGTCGGAGCGCCTTCAGGTCTGTGAGTTGCAGGAGCACAAGTACGGAATTGCCTGCGTGGCCTTTTCTCCCAATGGAAAATACATCGTCAGCGTGGGCTACCAGCACGACATGATGGTCAACGTGTGGAACTGGAAGGTACGCCAGAGGCTTGATGCGCCGGTGGGAGCTGGGATCGGAAGCTTACCCGCCCACCCGGTCATTTTCTGCCTGTCTTTCAGAAAAACGTCGTCGTGGCAGCCAACAAGGTGTCCAGCAAAGTGACTGCCGTCTCCTTCTCAGACAACAGCTCGTACTTCGTCACGGCCGGTAACCGACACGTGAAGTTCTGGTACCTCGACCACACCAAGACCTCTAAGGTGCCCCGCCTCGCTGTGAGCCTGTACTCAGCTGTGGGTGCGAGCCTGCTGCCGACTGACCCATGGTGTCTTCCCCAACGCAGGTCAACGCCACGGTCCCCCTGCTGGGGCGCTCGGGGCTCCTCGGCGAACTCAGGAATAACTTCTTCAGCGATGTGGCGTGCGGGCGTGGCCGTCACTCCGCCTCCACTTTCTGCATCACCTCCTCAGGTCTGCTGTGCGAGTTCAACGATCGGAGACTCCTGGACAAGTGGGTGGAGCTGCGGGTGAGTTGAAGCGCCGTCTCGGGATGACCACAGCTCGGGTCGAGCTCGGTTTGGCTGCGGGAGCGGGGCTTTTTTGAGTTCCTGCTGCTGTACGTCCGCAGCTCCACTCTGATGTCCCTACTCTAAAGTCCCTACCTTTGTTTCCTCCTCTCCCCCCTTGGCAGAGAGTGGACTCTGCTTGTGTAAGTTGTGGTCTTATTGGTTGCCGCACCTCCATCACACGAGTATTTTATTACTTGTCCACCAACTACCATGTTTTTGATAGATTTTCTTTCCAAACCCCACTCTTTATCATCGCAGCTGCCTGGTTCCACACTTGGGTTTTCATCCTTGTGATGGCCCTTTTCCATTAGTACTTGCTGAGGCCTACTCGCCTTTTGTCGTCGGCACACAGTTCCTTACATCTACCAGCTGAACCTCGGTGTTGGTTTGCGTATAAGGCATTTAAACGTTGATGATCACAGAAAGGACTCAATCGGAGGCTCGTTGCTGCTGCTGCTGAGTCATGGCTCATCTAGCCATGCAAGTTTAGGCTTGTCCTGATCCGTTATTTGGATTGGATCGGCCGCCGATATTTGCAAAAAAATGCGTATTGGTTGGCATGAAAAATGCTGATCCAGCCTGCTGATCCAGTTTTTTTCCCACACTAGCATTAGCATTTCCTAACCCACAGGCCTTTGTCCTAACCATTAAGTTGTTATCAGAGTAAATCCCTGTTCAACATGAGTCTGACAACTAAGTTCCTAAATAACTTTAAGCTTTAATACATGCTCTGATAGGCCGGGATCGGTATCAGCCGGTATCAGTTTCGGATTGGAAGCCCAAATACAATATTGGTATCGGATTGGAGGTACAAAAAGCTGGATCGGGACATCCCTATGTGAGTCCCTGGCCGAAAAAGGTTTTGGCCTGACTCAGCCAACTTGGAATCGAGTCGGTGCTAAATTTGTATCCATTAGCAACTGCCAACACCTGATGGAAAAGCAACAAAAAAACAAACGGAACAGAGTCCAGGCCTAGGTGCTAGTGGAAAAGCCCGGCATCCACCCTCCACAGATCATGCACATTCCACTGCTCTGACACCGTGCTCAGCTTAAAGAATGCGGAGGATCTGGACTCAGCCTCTTCCTTCCTGTCACCCTCATCACTGGTTTCTTCATAGCACGCCGCTCACATTCATAAACCAGCCGGTCCACCTACCCGGCTGCTAGCTGGTGTCATTCTGCCTCGGCATCGCGCCGCTCCATCACATTCCGTTTTGAAACGGCATCCAAAGCGCCGCCCGGCCGCTGGGTCAATGCGGGACAAGGGTTAACCCTCTGAGCTCTGGTCCTTGTGTCCGCAGGCGTCCCAGGCCACGTGTCTGTCCGTCACGGATGAGTTCATCTTCTGCGGCTGCTCGGACGGCACCGTTCGAGCCTTCAGCCCCGTCAACCTGCACTTCCTCTGCACCCTGCCCCGCCCCCACTGTCTAGGGGCTGACATTGCCAGTATGGTGGACGCCAGGTAACGCCCCCACACGCGTTGGAAGCACGGGTTCACCCACCGTGGGATCCATTTATTGTCAGATTTGGTTTGCATGACGCCCAAACACATGACCCCGGCTCTTTCTCCTCAGTCAGCTGTTCTCCTGCAAAGCAGAAAGCCCTTACCCGGATAGCGTGGCCGTCACATACGACCCCACCAATCACTGGCTGTCCTGCGTCTACAACGACCACAGCGTTTATGTTTGGGACGTCCGAGACCTTCAGGATCTGCGCAGGGCGGGAAAACTCTACTCTGCCCTCTACCACTCCTCCTGCGTATGGAGCCTCGAGGTCAGTGTGTTTTAAAACCAAGCACAAGTTGGGCTGCTGGAGTTTTTCTGCAGCTCTAAAGGCTCTAACAACATAGAACAGAATAGAAGTAATTTTAGATGTCATTGTTTTGTCACTCTACCAGAACAAAGATGTGTGCAATGAAATTTCAAGGGCTACTCTGAGCTGATCCATTGGCATGCAAACAACATTTATGCAACCACATTGATTGATCCAGGTTTTTTCAGTGAACCTGTTCCCCAAGATATCCTTAAAAGCAGTTGACCAAACAGGTCTCTCAACTACAAACTCACGTAATCCCTCCTCATGTCCTGCAGGTGTACACTGAGGGGACGGGGAAGGGAGAGGTGCAAATCCCCCCCGGATCCTTCCTGTCCTGCTCCTCGGACAACACCATCCGACTGTGGAACATCGACGGGAACAATGTCCTGCAGAGGAACATCTTGAGCCACGTACGACTCTCACACCTACACCCTCGCCCGTGCACCACCCCCGTCTCCCCTGAAGCCGTACGTCACACAACTCTAATCTCCGACGTCTCGTTCCCCTCAGGACTTGCAGAAGATTGTTTACGTGGACAGCAATGTCACCAGCCTCCTGGACACGGAGAGCCTCACTTCTTCCAGTGGAAACACAGAGAAGATAAGCTCGTATGGGTCAGAGGGGCAGCAGGTGGACCAGACCAGGGTGGGCATCAGGACCCTCAAAGTCAGTCCAGATGCACAGCACTTGGCCTCTGGGGACCGCATGGGAGTCCTGAGGTGAGGGCGCTGTAAAGAACTGCATTCAATTCAAAATCTGTTATTTCATAGCACTTTCCAAACAGAGCAGGTCAGACCCTACTCTGAAGTTAATTACAATTCCCACCATGAGCAAGCACTAGGCGACACAGGCAAGGAAAAACTTCCTTTTAACAGGCAGAAACCTGGAGCAGAACCATGGCTCAGGGTGGCCGGCCATCTGCCTCGGCCGGTTGGGGGTGAGGGAAAGAGAGGGCAAGAGAGAGAGAGAGAAGGACAGAGAGAGCAGAGAGAGCAGGGGAAGGCAGCCTACACAATAACACATCGAAGTACAGACAAGTAAAGGTAGTGCTGCTATAGGCTGGATGAAAAGCGGTACAGATATTGATAGTAATGTTAATGATAATGATAACAGTAATAATAGCTATAGGACTAGGAACAGTCGTTGTAATTGTAGCAAAGGGTGTCGAGTAGGAACACGGGGGGAGCAGGAGACTCCCAACCACAGATCCAGACCCCACAGCTCCAGAACCAGGAACACCTGCAGGAAGTGATAGGAGGAGGGGGACGAGAAAGCACACGACTACGGGGAAGGGAGAGAGTCCAGTTAGTAACATTGTTAATGGAATGAGGTTGCACCGGGAGGGAGAGAGAGAAAGGAAAGGGGAGCTCGGTGCATCATGGGAAATCCCCCGGCAGTCTAGGCCTATAGCAGCACAACTAGGGGTGGACTTACCCTAACTATAAGCTCTATCATAAAGGAAAGTCTTAAGCCTACTCTTAAATATAGAGACGGTGTCTGCCCTCGGACCCAAACAGGAACCTGGTTCCACAGCAGAGGACTGTGATAGCATCAGCGTGTCTCCACTATGTGTAATACCGTGTGCCGATTGTGATTGTGTGCTCTAGGATTCATGATCTGGACACCATGGAAGAGATCTTGAATGTCCAAGCTCATGACTCAGAGATCCTTTGCCTCGAGTTCTCCAAACCAGACACTGGTGAGAATGTGTTATGTTTACACGCTATGCATAACGTGTATTTTTTCTCCCACACGCGTCAGACACGCTGAACACACGACCGGGAAATCCCAGAAAATGTTAGACCGCATCATCCCGTTGTGCGTTTGCAACTGGAACACGATTCATCAGGCATTATACACAACACAAGATAAATATTGACCGCAGTCTGCGTCCCAACACGTAAACACACCCCTGTAAACCACACGAGAGCCAAGTCTGAGTCTTTCCAGTGAGTTTTTTTTACCGATGGGGCTATTATTTCGCTGTTCCTAACAATAACAGCTTTTTTTTTTTTCCAAAAACAGACTAGATAATAATAAGAGGATAAATTAACACAGAATCACCTGTTCAGAGGACAGCACGTCCAAATGCTCAACACACAAGAAAAGACTGTTTTGGAGTTAGAAACTCCATTCATTGGGATTAGTCACGATAGTGCTCTTGAAGGCAGAACGTCTCGTTGTAATTCCAGCTGTTTCCTGAAACAACAACCGGTCCTAACACAGTATTTATTACGGGACGAAGTCTATTTTTTCAGCAGGTCACACAGTAAAGGGTTGACAGAGGGAGAAAGGTGGTTCTCAGAGCCCTGACCTCATTTAAGTAGCTTCAGGCCCAATGGTAATGTTGTCTGCTTCATGAACCTTCATGAAGGTTTTTAAAAGTGAGCTAAACGGAGGGTAACTCACACATGGACCTGTAACAGACCATGTTTTACTAACACTCTGCAATAGATGAAAGAGTGTCAAAGTAAATAAGAGTCTGCTTTCTCCAGGAGTACATTTCTTAGACTGGAATTTAGGTCTATGTCATGTATGAACATTTTCTTATGGCTGTGGGTCCAAACTCTGCCCGACTTGCCTCAAACACCCCGAATTTGGTCTTTAGCTGCCAATCAAACTGCAACCGTGGTTGTTAAAGCCCAGTTTTAAACCGATCTGCTTGTGACAGCCGAGCCCCAGTCAAAAGTCCTGTAGCTGGGTGAAGATCTGTCTCAGGGGGAAAAGAGACGACTTCTCCGTTGTGTCCTTTTCCAAAACGGCCCGACACATGGACCGCAGAGCGAACGAATCACCGGGTTAGCCTCAACATTCCTCCACAACCCCGCAGCCAGAGGAATGCTGTGAATCCACACACCCACACACCAGCTGAGCAGGGTGATTCACACCGAGAGAGATTTGTTTTTTTCCTCAAGCAAAAAAACAACAGGAAACAAAAGACAATTCCCAATTTAACACGTGGAAAAGTCGGGCCTGTGAGTTAAAAAACCACCTAAGTAAGGCAGAGGAAATCATTCCTAATTTAGCCAGTTTGTGGAAACATCTGCAGCGATGTGGCGCATTTTTTGTCAATTTGACAACAAACAAAGAGCAGCTTTCTGCCTGACAGAATATAAACCGGTGAAGAACACATGCGTTTCAGCAGGTGAGCGTCTCATGTCGATGTTCTCTCTTTGTTTCTCAGGACTCCAGCTGTTAGCCACGGCCAGCCGGGACCGTCTGATCCACATCCTGGACGCGGGCAAAGACTACAGCCTGGTCCAGACGCTGGACGAGCACTCGTCCTCCATCACGGCCGTCAGATTTGCCGGTCTCTGACCTCTGATCTCTCTAAGCGTGCGTCCCGTGCCGTTGCTAAGCGGCCGCTAGCTAGCTGACTTCTGCTCTTCTCCTGCCCACCAGCCACCGAGGGGAAGGTGCGCATGATCAGCTGCGGAGCCGACAAAAGCATCTATTTCCGGACAGCTCAGCAGGTCAGCTCAGCGTTTTTTTTATTTTTTATTTATTTGAATAGGGACAAAGCACATTAATGAACATCAGTCAAAAACAAATGTAAATATGCCGGATTATAGTTACAAAGCTAATTTTCATCCGTAGTCCCTAGGCAGGCAAAGGCATAAAAAATAACATACGATAAACAATATAAGCATCACAAGTAAATGTTTAGAATAGTTTCAGTGCAGTTTTAGTACAGATTAAAAGGAAATGGGTTGATTCTTTTTATTTTTTTTGTTTGTGTGTGTGTAAACACATCTTTCTGGAAAATTCAGAAAAAAATTGTACATGTAAATAGAGAAATATACACTTTGAAACAGCTGGAAGAATTTAGTTCAAGGCAAGGCATTTTTATTTATATAGCGCAATTCATACCAAGCAGCAACTCAATGTGCTTTACATTAAGACTAGACATTTTAAATAAAAGAACAGCATAAAACAGCATAAAAAAAAACAAGCAAACAAACAATTTTTTTTATAAAAAGGTTAAAACACCGTTAAAAGCAGGAACAAAGGAAAAAGCAATATGTTTGTTACAGCTCCAGTGCTTTTGCAAAACCAAGATTACAATGTTAAAAGAACATATTACAAAAATATTTTAACAAAAGCTCAGCCATAAGCACATGAGAAGCGAATTGTTTTTAACCTTGATTTTAAAGTGCTTACAGTTGGGGCTGTTTTGAGTTCTGCTGGTAGCTTGTTCCAGTTGTGTGCAGCATAACAGCTAAACGCTCTTCAGTTAACAGAGCGTCTTCCCGTTCTTTTCTCTCTCTCGTCCTCCCCAGATAGGGGAAGGTTTGGAGTTCACGCGGACGCATCACGTCGTCCGGAAGACAACTCTGTACGACATGGACGTGGAACCCACCAGGAAGTACGCCGCCGTGGGCTGCCAGGACCGCAACATCAGGTAAGTCCAACCCGAGATGACCGCGTCCAGTAGACCACAATAGACCACAGATGTTGGTCTATTTTTAACACGACGGCTCAGCATGGTAGTTAACGCTTAAAAGATGAGCAGCTCCTTCATTCTTTCTGGTTTAAAACATCGTAACTATCACAGGGCGTTACATTTAGATTGCGTACGTGCGGAAAAAAGTGAAAAAAAAGGGCTGCCCACTGTCTGCTTTGCAGGATCTTTAACACCAGCAATGGAAAACAGAAGAAGTTGTATAAAGGTTCCCAGGGAGAAGACGGGACGGTCATTAAGGTGGGTCAGTCTCCGGTTGCCTGTAACGGCAGCTTTCCATCAAACAGAAGAAAAAAAAAACCCTTTCCCCCCCCCCCCCGCCCCCTCAGGTGCAGATCGACCCGTCAGGACTCTACATCGCCACTTCCTGCTCGGACAAAAACATCTGCATATACGACTTCTTTTCCGGGGAATGCGTGGCCACCATGTTCGGACACTCAGGTGCCTGCTGTTGTGTGCGTGTGGGTCTGTAATGTGTCGGTCAGTGTGTGTCCCCTTGTTGAATTGGAGCGGTGACGGCGTGCGTGTGTCTGGCGTTTCAGAGATCGTGACGGGGCTGAAGTTCAGCAGTGACTGCAGACACCTCATCACCGTGTCAGGAGACAGGTAGGCCTCACCTGTCTGTCAAACGGTCAGATTCAGCATGTGGCCGAGTCTGACCCCTTCACCTGTGAATCCTGTGTGGGGGGGGGGCGTGCAGCTGCATTTTCGTGTGGCGCCTGAGTCCGGAGATCACCATCAGGATGAAGCAGCGGCTCGCCGAGCTCCGCCCCCCCAGCACCACGCCCAACTCCCAGAATGCACCTCAGCAGAGAGCCACAAAGCTGAGGTAAGAGCTGGAGGAGCAGTTTTAGCTTTGTGGCATGGAGGAAAGAAAAAAGATGAGAAAAACGTGTTTGTTTGAGGCAGGGGTCGGGAACCTTTTTGACTAAGAGAGCCATGAAGGCAAAACATTTGGAAATTTATTTCAGTGAGAGCCATATAATATATTTTATAAGTGAATTCAACTAAATGTCAGTATAATAAGCCTCTGAATTTATTCATTTGAATAATGTTATAATACTTTACATTCGATCGTTTCATCGATGCAATTTTGTCATTGCAAATTAGACACACCGCCGAATTTGCTCTCTCCACAAAGGCGAATTCTTCAGTCCACTCGTCCTGAAATGTACAATACTCGTCATCTTTTTTTTTTTCTTTTCGCCATCTTCTTCGTCGAAGGGTTAGCTTTGAGCTAATGACCGAGCAGACTGATTCAAAAGGGGGCGTTTACCTGTTTTACGCTGCAACGGCCAACGTAGTCCAGTATCATCCAATTAAAATAATGGACAATTGCCCCTGCACAGAGCGCTCTGCTCCTGCAGCCCTGAACAGGACATGAGCCGTGAAAAATCGATGGATGGATATTTGTGGCTTGTATTTGTATACAAGTGAGAATATTTTGTTTTATCTGCGAGCCAGATGCAATCATCAAAAGAGCCACACCTGGCTCTCGAGCCATAGGTTCCCGACCCCTGGTTTGAGGAGTGAGAATAATGCAAAGATCCCTAACGATGTGACGATGCTGTCTGGCAGCAGGAAAGAGACGCCCGCTCCTTGTGTGGTCACCATGTCATCCGACTCTGACGTAGAGGAGGAGGAGGAGGAGGAGGTGGGCGAGGGGGAGCTGGACTGCTCTTACGTGGTCAACACAGGAAACCTGGTGGAGACAGGTGAGATTACAAGATATCTTAAAGGCACATGTGTTCAGTCGTGTGTCCATCGCGGGATGTGAGTCATTTATGGTTGGCCAAGTGATGAAAAGTCTTGTTTTATCGTCCTTTTGTCATCACACTAATCATAATCTTACATGTGAGCGAGCCTTTATGCAGTAATGAGAAGGTTAAAGTAACACCAGAGGTTTTGGAAACGGTATCTTTGTTCCACAGATGAATCTTGAAATCCCAAGTGCCAGGCCCGTTCGGTACTACCAAGCCCATGAGTCTCACAACGAGGCAGAAGCACAAAGTTTTAAAGCTTACAAACGTCGAATGATGAAGCCTGTTTTCATTGTTTCCCCTCAGGAGCTTACAGCGAGGCTTCCAGCAGAGACAGCAGGAAGGTCAGTGCAACAGACCTCCCACCATTACGTTTAGAGACAGGTTTAAGACAGATTTCGGTTTCTTATTTTTATTTTTTATTTTTTATTTTTTCCAATATATTTATTGATTTTTTTGCATTGCATAACAATTCAAAACAGAACATTAACACATAACACCCCCCCCACACACACACAGATCTAGGCTAAACCTGCAAATTCCACCTATATACAACTTAGCTTAAGAAATATATACATTTGAAATCAAGTACTCCAATATAATAAGGATCCCACTTAAAAATATAATGAAAAATAAATAAATAAAACATTAAAAAAAAAAAAAATACAGAACAACTTAGGATAGATAAACATTATAAACATTATATTCAGACTCTATAATGTCCATATATGGTTCCCAGAGATTATGAAACTCTTTCTGTTTTCCCTTAGCAATATATGTTAGTCTTTCCAGTCCAAGGCACTTGGAAAGCTCCTTTACCCAACGTTTCATTAAAAGAGCCTCTACACTTTTCCAATTAAGTGCAATCACCCTCCTGGCTTGTAGAAGTCCAAAGTCCACCAATCTAGTCTTTCTGTGCATTTTTATAAAGTTCAATGGATAGATCCCAAGTACACATAGCTTAACATTCAGTGGTATGTTAAGATGAAAGGTCTCTGACAGAGAATTTATAACATCTTTCCAAAACTTCTGAATCAATGGACATTCCCACAAACAATGAAAAAGGGTTAGATTTCGATTTCTTACCAACTGAGAATGCCATTTTCAGAATCTAGAAGAGCGTATCGTCGAAAACCTACATTTACAGCAGGATATTGCAAATTAGACCTGTGCGTTTTAGATCTGAGACTTTTCTGAGGACCACAAGGCTGAACCTGGAGCTGCTTTCTTTAGCCAAAAACTGCTCTTTATGCCTCACCAGGAGGCCTCAGATGGTCGGCTCCCTCGCCGCCGCTGGTCAAGGAGGACGGCCAGTGCCGACAGTGCTCTTATGGTGAAGTCCATGCTGGATCTGAGACTGCTGGACTCGTACTGCCCCGGCAGCAGGGAGGAGCAGGAGCAGGTGAGACATCACAGCTCCACCTAGTCCACCTACTTATGTCCATGTATCAGTAACCCGCCATTTGTGTCTGCCCAACCAGGTTAAGGCCCACCCTCCAGCGGACCATGTCTTTGGCCTTAGAAGAAAGAGTCAGGGAGTGGGCTCAAAGTGCCATAGGACCCATGAGGAGCTCCAGAGGACCATCAGCCTACAAGTCACCTCTCCATGGGTATGAGCGATATTCAGTCATGGTATGAACTGTGTTTTTAGGGAGATTTTGAGCTAGGTTGAATGATGATTCTGTTGAGAGCGAGACAGCTACAACCAAAGGGTTGACAGGACTGGGTAAAGGAGGTTTGATGAGAATAAAGATGAGTGGGACCACCTGGTTTGGTTCTTTGTGTTGTGAGGGGAAGTCTCCTGGGAGAGATTAGCGGAATGGCAGTCTGGAGCATCTGATAGGTTGGAACGGAAGGTGGTTCTACTACCTGGTTGGTCAGGCAATGAGTCTGGTTGGTTAACCCCGAGAACAAAGGTAGTTTGACATGGTGCAGTAGATGAGACAGCAGAACTGGTCCAAGCATAGAACCCAGGAAACTGAAACCAGATAAATATGACTTAAACCAGGCCAACGCAGTCTTTTTTATCCAAATAACAAGTGGAATAAAAACTGTACAATACATAAAAGTGGGAATTTAAAGATTGGCTGATTGCAATTCAGATTTTCTTGAATCCATGCTTTGTTTCTTGCCTTTGCAGGTGGACGAAGAGACAAGGGCCAGTCAGAGACCAGACTTCATCTTGCTGTCCAATCAGAGCCAAAGCGGAGAGGATCCAGTGCTGTTTCCTGAAAAATGGGACGACAGAGTGAGCCTGGCAGGCAGGTATGAGGCTCGACGAGAAGGTGCTTGGTGTTTAGCATTTACTACCTGCAACCTCAGGAAAAGACCAAGAAGAGTGCTGTTAAAATTAATTTTATTCACACACAAGGTCAATTAATGATTTGGAAAAAGGGGAGATTGTTTCATACACAATGTCACACACATTAATACAATTGATGGATGTTTGCATGTGGTCCGTGGAGGTTAGTGGCTTCAGTCTCCAAGCTTTGAAGCACAGGTTTATCAAATGTTTTGCATGACGATGACATGACATCACAATTTAAAATGGCCCCCAGAAATGAAAAACATATTCAGTTTGTGCCTGATTTCTGATGTTTGAGATGAACTCACACCCACACGTCTGCATACAGCAGTAACTTTTATCCAGAGCAACCTACAAGCACAGAGGAGAATTGATACAAAATGGATTTTAGAGAAAAATTTACAGTTAAGAATCATAACATCATTAGTCTGCTTGAGGGAGAAAGTAGATCTTTAGATTATATATATATATATATATATACACTAACTCACACACATAATATCTTAGAGACCTTTTTAAATTGTCTTTAATTAAATGGGACTATTGGACTGATTTGAAGTTTGATAGATTTGACTAGGTTATGATGGTATTTGGATGAACTGGATAGTCAATGGAACTGAACTGAAAAATTCCCTCGTACCCTTGTGTCTTGTGTCTTTTTTAGCGAGTTTCAGGTGAAGGAGGCATCTCACGGGGCTTCGGGAGGACGACCAGACAAGCCCAGCCCAGACAGCGGATGCTCTCTGGGATTCAACTCCACCATGTCCAGTCCAGACCGACCCGCTGCAGACGGTGAGACTGGATACCTGACCACCGGCAACCAAACAGGGAGCTGTGAGTCATTTCATCGTCCCTCTGTGCCCATCAGATACAGAACCTCTCAGCGTGGACGGGAACTCCTCCGACCTGGAGATCGAAGACGAGGAAGACAGGGGAGGACGACGGTGTGGAGAAGCGGGGGCGTCTCGGCGTGTCCCTCAGACTCCGGACCAAGAGGCTTTCCTGAAGGAGAACTTTGTCACACTAGCCGATCCATCTGCTTCAAGTAATTCCACACACTCAGGAGAAGACCTCGCAACACACCCAGCACCCAGCAGTGTATCTCTGCCTGCTAACATCAATGCTCCCCGTTTGTTTTACAGGAAGTTCTAGCAGAGCTTCTCACAGCTCCAGCGAAAGCCTCAGCATCTCCTCCAGGTTCCTGTCTCAGACCTCGGCTGGATGGTAAGCTCCAAAGAGACTGTAGAATGATGAGAAACACCACCTGTTTCTGTTCTGTGGCTGTTCCTGGGCTGGTCATTGACCCCTCCTCGGCTGGTCATGTCTTGAAAGCTGTGAGGTGTGAGATGGATACAAGTTTAATCCTCTTTGCGCTCCACAGCCGGACCACACTACCCCTGTCCATCTGGACCACGGGGGGAGGTGGAGGGGAGGCGAAGGCCAGGCCTCTGGTCTCTGAAGTCCGGCCCCTGGTCGAGGGCAACCGGAGCCGACCGCAGTCCAGGAGGGTGTCGTGGAACCAGGACCAGACTTCCTCCCTCCATGAGTTTCCACCGAATCCTCCTCAGATTCAGGTCCAGCCGCAGGAGGCCCTCCCTGCCCAGCCGGGCCCCAGGCCCTCCCCATTCAAGAAGAAAGCCCAGACTGCAGTGGAGCCCAGGACTCATGTGGGTCCTGGACTTCACAAAGCTCATTCGGTCCACAGCCTGATGGCCGACACAGGTACAGGTCCACGCAAGATCCCGCCTTCCCGTCGGGTGCCGAGGACTCGCCCCGGCCCGTAACCTTTCCTCTTTCTCTCACACGGCCTCAGGTGACTCCTCCGACCTCCTGCAGATCTCCCGTCCGTCAAGAGAGGTCCCCCCTCAGCGTCCCACCACCCTTCCCTCCTCTCCCAGACGCCCCCCTTCCACATTACTGCCCTCCCAGAGACCCAACCCCGTCTCCCCCCGCTCCCCCCAGCAGGAGGCCCCTAATGGTGCAGCGAAGAAGTCCCTGCAGTCCTCCTCGGTGGCTCCGTCGGGGCCGCGCTCCTACATGAGCCCCACCGCCAGCTCCATGGCCAAGATGTCCCGCTCCGTCTCCATGGGCGACGGCCTCAACGTCCCCGAAGCCGGCGAGGACCCGGGGGACGGCTCCCCCCCGCCCAGGGACGCCGCGCCTCCTCCCGTCGCCGTGGTCTACTCCACCCCCCCCCACGCCGCCGTGGCGCCCGTGGTGGTTTCGTCCCCCTCTTCCGCGCTGTCCGGGGGAAACCACGGCAACCGGTCGGCTCCCCCCTCTCGCGGTCTTCAGACCCGGGTCCCCGGCGGCAGCAGCGGGCCACTTCCCGACAAGCCTTCCTTGGACTGCCTCACGCCGGCCTCCAAATCTGCCGCCTCAGCATTCCAGGCCCCTCCCGCCTCCGCCCCCCCGCCCCAGGAGGAGGAGGAGGAGCCTCAGGTGTCCGCAGAGCGCTCAGTCAGTGCAGGTTTGGACTCTCATCCTCCTCTCCTTCTTCTTCATCCTCTCATCCTGTCACCCCTCTGGCTCTTCCCCTCCTTCTCTACAACGGGTGAGACGTGTCTAGGGATGGGGATCGAAACCCGGTTCTATCAAGGACCCGGTTCCACTTTTTTCAAAACCCGAAAATCAATACCGTTTGGGCTTAACGATACCACTATCGAGTCTGGTCGTTTTTTTTATTATTACAATAGTAATTGTGAAATCCGTGTTGTAATCGGCAGCATACAAGCTAGTTAGCTTGAAAAGTAAATAAGTTTCAGACGTGCTGTGTGATGATGTGTTCAGGTTGGCTCAGTAAAACGACAATTAGGTTATCATGATGCGTTCAAGTGTAACGTAAAGAAAAGGGAAATTGAGTTTTTGGCGAGAAACATGAGTAAAACAGTTGTATATTGCCCTAATTATTTTAGAATATATAATTAAACTACTGATGCCAACATTTATTAAAAATGACATTTAATTTAAAATACAATTATTTATTTGCTAAATATTGTCGCATCGTCTTTCCACCAAATAACAGAAAAGTATCGATAGTGGTATCGATATCAATAAATATTAACGATCCCCATCCCTAGACGTGTCACACCTGTCTGCCTCCTATTTACTGGTTTTGCCTCATCGTCTACTCTTCCTCGCCCCTTCCATCAAATCTTGTTATATCACTCCCTCGTGGAGTGAATAGAAAAGGAGGCCCCCCTCCTCCTCACCTGTTGCCGCTCTCTTTGCAGATCAGCCCGTCAGTCTGGAGACCTGTAGGGCTTTGGCCAATGAGCTGCAGAGCTGCTTCAGGAGGGCAACACACCTGTACAGGAAGGTGAGGATCAGATCCTAACGCCTGATTTTAAGGGAGAGCATCAGAAAATGTATCCATTAAAAATATAGATAG